ATTTATGTAATTACTATGCACTTAATGCAGACATATTATTAAAATTTGGGCTGTAATGGTTGTATTGATGTATAGCAACTTGAAATGCTCCCAAAAATGGCTCCACAGCAGGTAAAAATATAATATAAGCTCTGGCGGACTTGGTTCTATGGTAGGTCTTAAAGGGTTAAACGCCAGTTTAAATTTATAAAGTAATTTCCACCTCATGTTCTGTCAAATATTTACATCGTCTCCAAGTTCAACTGTGATAAACATTGTTCAGTCAGTGTGATTGATAATAATAGGACAAATGATCATCGATCAGTGTGTAATATGCAGTCCTGTGTAATATAAATATATACATACACACACATACAAAAACACACACATATCCCCAACTAGCCATCCTCTCTGAGACTGATTCAAGACTTATGTTATTATTGGGTGACAGCATCTCAAAATACTATCACCCTCAACATCTTCTCAGATCCATTTCATGCAAAAACGGAGCAAAGTAAAAATCTGTGTCGTTTTAACCCAGTGTTAAGTTAGTCTGTTGATATTATGTGATATTCAGTTACATCTATTGGCTATTTTGTTAGAATGTGCCCTACAATAATTGCAAGTTTTACAATGTCACTGATTTATGCCTGTTTCACGACAGTCAACTGGGGAGTAAACTCTGGTGGGAGGGGCTGTAAACTCACATGGCCTGTGGCAGTGGCAGAGTAAGCTTGTGTGAGCCAGCCATGATATCTGTACAAGCAGTAGCCTTAAAAAATTCACTATTCATTCTCCTGCTAGTGGTGGAGGAGAGTTTTCTTACGGGGAAGAGGCCCTGCTGTCCTGCCGTCTTAATGGTGCCACTGAGAGATTAGCGGCGGCCACATATTCTTCTGGAACATCGAGTTTTGGACCCAAGTAATCACAGACACGTTTCACAATTTATTCAGGGTCTGACAGCAGTTCACCATCTGTGTCCAATATCTAATACAAATTTCTGGATTGGAGCATGTATGTTCTTGAGAACTGACCGTGTTCTCCCCACACCAGGAGAAACCATAGGGTCCTGATGTATCGGAGATTTTAAAAAACACACTCCTGTGAAGAGGAGGCCAAATTCATCTGCCAAGACAGCAGCGTTTGCAAGAGACTCAACTTTTTGTTCATTTAAAGAAAATACCACATGCTCTAGCAAGCATTTCTTAAAACCCCCCAAAAGCACTAGAAACCTCAGCTGTGCGAAATCTTTGACTTGCTAGCCTGACACCATTTATCAAAAAGCAACCTTTTTTTACGTGCAAACTTCATACATATCTGGTTATTCCTTTTCCCACAATGTCAGAATTTCTCTCGGTACGCTTCAGGCACCAATTCAAAAGCAAGCAATACTGTAGCCCTAACCACGTCATAATCCAAGCTTTGGTCCACTGAGAGGCTAGCACACACCTCCTGAGCTTTACACACAAGCCTAAACTGCAGCAGCAAGGCCCAAACCTCCTTCAGCCAGTTCAAAGCCTCATTACATCCTCAGCCAATGGTACGGCTCCACCTGGAACTTACGTAGGTACAAACAAAGAGAATGAATAACGCCACCCTCAGGTGTGAGGAGCACAAACAACACACAACATCATGACATGGGCAGTTATTCTTTGTTAAACTAATATATTGGTTACAT